CATCGTAATACATCATATTGAGTAATTGATTTAGCTTTGATTCACATTTTGTATTTGGTATTTCATTAAAGGATGCAGATGGCAAATATGTCATGACTTTAAAATATCCTCATTATGTCCCATGCATGAGAAAAGCATCCAATCCAGAAACCAGGAGAAAAATGGAGTATGCATTCAATCGGAGGTAAGAAATGAAACATGCCTGTCACTTTTTTTTTATTCATCAAATTTATTTTTTGACAGATCATTAATAGTTTGGGAAATGGTATTAAAGACTTTTCTTTGAACAAGTCTAAAATAAATAACTTAATGATTGTACTTTCATTGACACTAGGTGCTTTGAAGAAAACACTAAGATCCTTGAAGAATTAGTGGACTTGAGGCAGAAGGTATCATCATTCATCAATAATTCTTTTCCAAGTGAATACAATGTTGTTGAAATGATAATTTATCCCAATGAGATCATCATTATCACCACTGAACTTTGCTATCATTATCTAGAAAAGGTAGCAGGTAGCCCTTTGGATCCAGACAGGGTTACCCCGAGTTTTAAATCAGGTCCTGGTAATAACATTGAAGTTTTAGTGCTATTTTTTTAAAAACAAAACTGGAGATTTTATGTTGAATTCTTGAGACCGGGAGAATACAGCCCAAAATCTTGATACTTCCAGTTATCCAAGAGAGTTGACAGACATGCATCATCACACCATCTCATTTGATATAAATCAACTAGCTTTCAAACCTATTACCTCCTTTATTGATATGATTTTCAGATGGCGCATCTTCTTGGTTACTCAACTCATGCAAATTACATTCTTGAGGTATACTTTATACAGAAAGCTTGATTACAATGACTACAGTAGCCACTAATATTTGTGACATATTCTTCACTTTAGATGCGGATGGCAAAGAATGCCAAAGCAGTTGCTGACTTTCTATCGGCATTGTCCACAAAACTGGAACCATTGCTGCAAGATGAGTTGAAAGTCCTTCTTCAGCTCAAGCAAGAAGAGGTTTCTTTTTTTTCAAATCATTTGCATCTGGGAACTTTGGGATCATTTGCTTGATTAATGAAAAGTATCTACTTGTTGAAATTGCTTTGCTATAGGGTTAGGTTGTTTATTGACAATCTTTCCATAAAAATCAGCCAAAAAGTTAACACTTACAGACACAAGATGGATATAGATTATAATATTATAATGAATCTTCCACATGAGAAAAAAAATGCATAATTAAGGTCTTTGGATGCACATTGAGGTCTTTTAAACCAACTCATTCAGTCAATTGTCCATTTTGTTTGCTTTTATCCTTTCATTTCATGTTTTGTTCCTTTTTCCATTTATTCACCATTTATTTCATTGAAACCTTCAATCACCTGTTCATTCATTCATTTTAATTTTTGTCGACATAAACCTATTAAGTTACCCTCATCAATGATTGTTAAATCCCCTGCTAACAAATTGCTTGATTTATAGTGTAAAAGTCTTGGATATGACTTTGATGGTAAGATCAATGCCTGGGATATGAGGTACTACATGTCTATGGTAGAAGAAAAGAATTACTCTGTAGACCATGAGAAACTTAAAGAGTACTTCCCCCTGGATGTTGTTACTAAAGGTAATGTCATACATGCTGTTATAAAACATTCAATACATTAGTCCAATGGACTCAGATGTGTTCACGGTCAGTAATATTGATAAAACTGTTCCTGAAAGATGTCCTCCTGTCAGATTAGCCATTGTGGAACCCTCCCCTCCCCCCTCATGAAACCCTATGTGGACCTGCTTCTGTCAAGTATGAGTTCAGCTATCAAATCAATGTATCAATTGATTCATGTGCATGCAAGTATAATTTTCAATTGGTACTAACAATTCTAATATTTGTATTTATGTTTTATGTTTTGTTTCTTTCAGGTCTCCTGGACATTTACCAGGTATGGTAAATACTGTTGGTAGATATTATGAAAATAGTTTGTTGTTTTACTCATATCCTATTTTGAAATGCATATTTTAAGTAAATGAAATTGATCATTAGCATGTATTGATCGTTATCTGCTGTTTATGCAGGAGCTTCTTGGTTTAGTGTTTGAGGAAATTCAGAATCCTCATGTTTGGCATAAAGATGTCCAGTTAGTAAGTGAATAAATTTTTCGGGAGCTTATGTTTCAGAGGCAGTTAATGAAATTATTAAATTACTTTTGATACAGTTCAGTGTAAAAGACAAAGCTTCATCGGCTATCATAGGATACTTTTACCTGGATCTGTTTCCAAGAGAAGGAAAGTTTTCCCATGCTGCATGCTTTGGCCTCAAGGTAGGTTAATCATTATCCCTTCCATTGCATATAATATTTTTGTGTTTTTTGTTTTTGTTGTGGTTGTTGTTGTTGTTGTTGTTGTTGTTGTTGTTGTTGTTGTTATATTTTGTTTTGTGTACATGTGTGTTATATGAAAGTCAGAGTAGCCTGCATAGCCAAGCATTCCTAGCTGCTCCGGGAGAGTTTGGGCCGCAGAAACGCAGAATTCATTTTTGGATTTCTCAGGCCCAAACTCTATTGGAGTAGCTAGGAATGCCTGGCTACGCAGGCTTAAGTCAGAGAGACTTTGACCTCAAATTTGTTTGCTCAATGGCTGCATCCTCATGTGTATGAAGTGTTTACAAAAAAATATATTAATTTTTTGTTTGTTTGTTGTTATTTTGTTTATGCTGTTTTCTGTCTGTGACTGCAAATCAAATGTTTCAGTATGGGTATCATTGCAACAATTCTATAACATCATCACTATTAAACCAATTTGTGTCTTTGTTGACAAATTGTTGACAATGAATCTTAGTTTACTGTTTTTGTTATTTCATACTTTACTTGTCAGCCTGGATGTCTGCGCAGTGACGGTAAGAGACAGGTTAGTTCCATTTATCTAATATTGTAATTATAATAGTCCTTTCTTAGGGTTTTAGGGTTTCTTTAACAATACTGCTCAATTTCAAGATTAAACAACTATTTTCTAGTAAATGGACACTACTTTACATCTCAATTATGCATGTTTTGTTACAAAATCAGGTTATATTTATTAAAAGTATCAACTTGATTTATTTCTTGTTTCTTTTCAATATATTTATTAGGTTAATATTTCAGCCATGGAAGCAAACTTTACACAACCAACAGAAGACAAACCATCATTACTAACCCACAATGAGGTAAGCAGCACTAGAACAGAATGGAGACCTGCTGATATCACTAAGAAGGGGTGCACACACTTAGTCCAGTCATCCTGTGATTTAAGGTCAAACAAATTGTAAAAGAATTTTTCTCACTGCT